CCCCCCCCCCTCAGAGGTTCTCTTTTTCGTACCCCCCAAAAATATCGTCCACACCCCCTAGTAAATACTTTATGACCGGCCCTTAGGTCGTCGCTCTGCTTCGTCGTCAATTTCCCTCTGCCTTTTTTCAAGACTGAATTCGCGAAAGCTTGTTCATTTTAGGCACCCATTGCTCGTACTTATCCTTCGTGTCCTTTTTCCATTGTCGTATTGCTCTCTGAGTTTCAGCTCCTCGATCAATTTTAAGCTCTTGTACACTTGCAACAAGATTATTTACCTTGTCAAATGTGGCGTCTGTTCGTTTCTTTACAACTTCGATCTCTGCGTAATCGCCTTCTTCAATAATATCGTCAATTGGCTCGAGATAGTACTTTAGTTTTTCGATTTCCTTGTCTATTTCAACCTCCTTCTCGTTTTTTTTTTGCTGTCTCCTCGCTCATTGTTATATCCTTCACGTCGTACAAATCGATAAATTCTCGTATTTACATGACCAAATAATGTATTGTTGTCGTTAAATCACTCGTTAAATATTTAAATTATCGTTCGATTTTTTGTTCAATCCTTGTCACGGCACCACTTATATGCCGAACTTCCCTTGTTAAATTGTTAACAGGTATATAACCACAGAAATCACAAAGACAAATTACATTTATTTGTATAAAAATATAGAATTTTCACGCTCACAACTCACTTGTTTTGTTTTGTCTCGTCTCACATAATATAATAATAACGACCCCCATCAACATGCTCTTAATGTTTCTTTTATGCAAACGTCAATCACGCTTACGTCACTTATTGTAATGGCTTGATTACCGTATAATATAAACTTTATTTCATAAAATACTTTGACAAAACATCACATAAAAGTACAAAACTACAATCTATTTATGTTCTTTCGACCTTGTGTTCTTTTTCTTTCCCAAGTTCTTTGCGCGCTCGCTACATTCCTACTACAGTCCGCCCTTTCTCGAGGGTTTAGTTTTTAACAAAACACTAAACTACTTTACACTACTACTTTAGTTAATTGACTCTACGCTATGTTAATTACTCTAGTACTGATGTTTCTGTAACAAATGTTTCTAATAAAGTCAATAAACAAAATTACAACGACAATCAACAATGTTTATTCAGGAGGCATTCTCACAGAAGTGATTTTCAGAATGGACCTGTACTATAGAACTAGTATTATACAAAGTGAAGAATATTATATCAAATCTATTTACATGTGGTCAAAAGTTAAAAATATCATAAATTATCTATCATTACAATAGTATACTTGCTGAACTGGTAAAAGTTTAAAAGTTTAAAAGTCGAGAAGAACAATAGTACATCAATCAATCAATCAATCAATCAATATATATTTATTTCCCATGTGTATGTACAATAATAAGTAACAAATACTATGTGTAGTTTGAAGGTGTTGGGCTAGAGACCTACTGGAAACCTTTTCAGGCTTTTTAATGTAGGCCACTAGTTAGGTTTAAAAAAAATTGCATATATATTTACAGTGAAGAGTAATTATTGAAGTAAGACCTAAAAGTATATACTATTTACAAAAGAAGGATATTATATCATAATATACAGTTACAAGATTACACAATTTTCGCTATAGAATTAACGGTTGCTGTATATCTGTGGTCATTGCATATAAGTTGAAGAAGATCTAGCTCACTATAACATGTTGTTTGATTAATCTTTTGTAGACATTGTAAGAGTTTAATCTTTTGAATTTTGTATCTAATGTATTCCATAGATTAACCCCTTTGTTAGAAAAAGTATGTATGACATAATTAGTTCTTTTACAACACTTGTGTAGTTTTGTTGCATTTCTTGTATTGTAGTTATGAATTTCAT